TATAAACACGTGATCTTGATTCTAAATGTGGGTGGGGGGGGAAACGGAGGACCCGGAGAAAAATTCCGCACGACCACGGGGAGAGAGAGAGAGACGCAAACTCCAAATATACAGCAGGGGTCGGGATCGGGATCGAACCCAAGTGACAACGCTTTACCACGCTGCACGTTGCCGTTATCAAATATATGCGAGCACAAGACTAATTGCTTGCCCCCCTAACAGCACCATGTAGGCTACACGGGGGGATCTTTGTCCTTCTTACAGGAGCCGTGATTAAGGCCAATGAGAGATGGGGGGAGTGGGGGTGGTTAAAAGGGGCAATTTGCATTGGACCTCGCGCACAAGATGGCCCCAACACAGCAGGGCCTGTGTTTTCAAGGCCGATGAATAAGGGTGGCTTCCCCCAAGGGGGGGGGGCATTCTGCCCAGGGTCCTCGAGCGAACCTCCCGGTTGTCCCTGGCCACCGTCGCTCAACGTAACCGTGCCTCGACGCCCACCCGCCCGCCCGCCCGCCCGTGGAACTCCCGTCCACATCGTCGGGCGCGATGCCCGAAACTCGGGACGACTCCACCGGCAACGCCTCTAAAAGAAACGACGTTCGTTTGCAACAGTGTTGCCGCGGGCCCGCCCCGGAGCCGGCCCGGCCGAGCCGACCCTCCGCGCGCACAAGCAGATCGAACGTCGCTGCTGCTAATCGCCCGGCTGTAACGAGGGAGAGGAAATAACGTCCCGATTCTTTGCCGTCCATTTGGTCGACCGCAGCTGTGAGGGCATTTTGATGAAATTGGTCACTTTGGGGACTTCCCCCTTGCCCCCTCCGCGCTCCTTCCTCCATCAGCTGAGTTGGATGCGAGGCCCCCACCCAGAGCAGTGCATCTCTCCCTGCACTATGGATTAAATTAATTATTGAAACCCACGAGCGAATGCAGAGCTGCTTTTAGTCTTTTTTTTAAGACCTGTTTATATTTTTTAAGACGTAATTCCCATAAGGTCCTCCCCCTCGCCCCCCTCCCGGAAAGTAAAAACAAGTGCAACTCGTCTTGTCCACCTATTATATCTGGCCTCTATGCCATTCTAAGCTTGCGTATGGCAGCGATCTGTCCGGGAGGCAGATGTCAATTTTCGATGTGCTTGCTGGGCCCCAACGGAGAGGGCTTCAGGAAGGTAGTTTTGCGTGGTTTTGCTATTCCTCCGCTGAAGGAGCGGAGGTTAGAGTGGTTTACTGCATGGGCGAGAGTTTGGTTTGCTTGGCCACAATCGCACCGCTGCGGCTTGTCTTTAATGTGTACGTTACCTCCTGAGTACGGTCTGTTCGATAACGCTGCGTCGCTTTCATAACGCGAATTTCTTGCGTACGTCAAGAAAGCATTGGGAGAACACATTGTTTTTTTTATACGGTGGATGCGAATTGAATGTATAACCGATCGAGTGAACGGAACTACGTCGTGGCGCGAGTAGGAATAAGCGGTCGTAACGGCTGCCTCGGCTTGGCATCATCACGCAAGCCATTGGGATGCTGCTGGATGCTTCTAGATGCTACCCACGCGCCTCAAGTCTTGATTACGCATCTCACGCGCTATCGCGGACTGTGCTTTACCCCCTCCCCCTCCTATATTATATGTCATTTATTACAACGCGATCTTTCCATAGTGCGGTTTTCTTTAGGAACGCAATTCGGTGATCGAACAAAATTGTCGACCATTTTTTGCCCCGGACATCGAACAAAAAATTCGGAGGTCGAACAACTGGAAAAGAACCGGTTTGGGTGGGCCGAGACGCATAGCCAGGGCGACCGAGACAAAGTTGAATGACCCAGTTCACGCGTAGCTCTCGCCCAGTGCGCAGACCCGCAAAAAAACATCGTTCCGTTAACTTTTTCCTCACCACCTTCCACTCAAGCCATCCACTCTCCTTACTACAGATAAAGCGAAGTTCAATGTTCATTTATTCTATTAATTATAACTGTGTTTGTTGTTTTTTTGTACGCTTTTATGTACTGTACTGTATTTTTATATTGTAAACTTTGTGTAAAAATGGCCCATAATAGGAGCATCCTTGGGTGCGGAACCAATCAATGCTATTTCCATTCATTCTTATGGGGAAAATTTATTCGGTGTTTGAACAAATCGGTGTTCGAACACGGTTTTGTAACGAATTAAGTTCGATCTCAAGAGGTACCACTGTATATACATAAAACAAAAAGGTACTTTTTGTTGCAATAATTATTACATTTTCCCGTGATTCGCAACCCCGGTCAGAAAAATCTCGCGGAGTTTGGTGATTTTGGTGGTGGTGGCGGCTGCGGCGGCGGCGGCAGAATCGTTTTTTCGCGATGTCACGAATCGGCCGGAAAGACGAACGCCGGTTAACGTTCAGATTTTTAGAACTCCCTCTTACGAGACACTGGAATGTGTTAATGCCGAACCGGTTGAGTGCTGCCAAATACGTCCCGTTCGCCACCGTGGAGACCACACGCCACTTGTGGGGGGGGAGGCCGGGGGGGGTGTGTGTGTGTGTGTGCCCAGCGTTCAAGCCCACATAAGGCCAAGCAAGTGAGGCTTGCGGGGGTGTGGGGAAGGAAGTGTGTGTGTGTGTCTGTGAGCATGTGACGGCTGTGACCGATGATTGGTAATAATTTGACGACGGTGCGGTGGACGCCCCCCACGCTACGAAACCCGGCGACCCAAGTTCGATTCCCGCTCACGTCCAACAAATGAGTACCTGGTGCGGTGTGTAAAAAAAACACTGCCACTAGGGGAGACAAATGCGGCCGGGCGTGGTGCCGCTCACCCACGCCCTCGTGTGCCGTGCCGGCCTTCATCGGTGCCGCTCGCCAACAGCGCTTGCCCCGGTATTCGTCAGGGCGGACGCCGGATTCGAACGGTGAACTCCCTCTGCAACGGCAACGCCCGCGCCGTGTCACGACCTCGCCAAACGCGGTGGTGGCGGGGCAGGGGGTGTTCGTGGTAGGTAGGGGAGTGCGGAGGAGTGATGCGTCTTGCGTGCTGGGGGCGGCGGGAGAGATGGTGTGTCTGGTGACTATTGTTGGCAGAGCATGAGCAGGAGGAGGAGGGGGAGATAGTGGGACCGTTTACAGACATGGAGAATGGCATGTTGGGGTGCGTGGGGTTCGTGCGTGCGGTTGAAGTGTGGGGAGCGGCGGCGTAGCGGTTAGCGCTACCGGTGACGATTGTCTGAACCGGTCCTTGGGGGCGCCTCCGCTAGGTCGACTCAGCCTCAAACGAGTGTCTGGTGCGGTGCTCAGAAACGTCGCCACTGGGGAGACAAAGGCGGCCGGGCGCCGTGCGCGCCGACCCCCGTCCCCTGGTGGTGCCGTCAGCCTGTTGCAGGCTATGTGGGGGGATTTTTGTCTTTGGGGTTTGCGCGGTGTGGCGCTGAGCGCGCTGCGATGGGAGCAACCCGAGTCCAGTGTCCGCTCGCGGCCAATAACGGTGGCGGTGAATATCTCAACCGGTCCCTGGGCCTCCCTCCCCCCCCCCCTAGGTCGACTCGGCCTTAAACAATCTGGACCTGCTGCGGTGTGCGAACATCGGCACTGTGGAGACAAAGGCGGATGGGCGCTGGTTCTGGCCACCCACGTGTGCCGTACCCGGTGTTAATAGGTGCTCGCAAATAGCGAATGCTTCGACAGCCTTGTTAGAGTCTTTACGGGGTGGTGGGGGGGGTTGGAGGGTGGGCGGTGTTTGTGCGAGTTGGCAGGGTTGTGGGTTGAGATAGGGTGATTCATACGGGTGAGCGTGTGGCTGTGGTATGTGTGTGTGTTAGGTGGTGGCTTAGTAGGGTGGGTGGGTGAGTGAGTCAGTGTGTGTGTGTTAGGTGGTGGTTTGCTACGTGCGTGGTGTATTAGGGTGGGTGGGTGAGTGAGTCAGTGTGTGTGTGTTTAGGTGGTGGTTTGCTACGTGCGTGGTGTATTAGGGTGGGTGGGTGAGTGAGTCGGTGTGTGTGTCACTACGCGGTAGCGTAGTCGTGGTTATCGCGACGCTCCGCTACGAACCTGGCCACCCGAGTTTGATTCCCGCTGACGGCCGACAACACCGGTGACGATTTTATGAACCGTTCCTGGGCCCTCCCCTAGATCGACTCAGCCTCATGAAGTACATGGCCACTGGGGAGACAAAGGCGGTCGGGCGTGGTGCTGGCCACCCACCCCCTCGTGTGCCGTGCCGGTCTTGATAGGTGCTGCTACTCGCTAACAGCACTTGCCCCAAACAGTCTGTTCTTGCTATACGGGGGACCTTTGTCTGTGTGTGTGGTGGCGAGCGGTGGCGTAGCAGTTAGCGCCGCTCGGCTACGAACCCGACGACCCGAGTTCGATTCCCGCTGACGGCCAACACCAAGTGACGATTATCTGAACCGGTCCTGGGCCCTCCCCTAGATCGACTCGGCCTCAAATTAGAAACCTGGTGCCGAGTGTAAACGTCGGAGGCGAAGGCGGCCGGGCGTTGAGTTGGCCACACCACCCCCCGAGTGTTGCGTAGCGGCCTTAGTAGCAAGGTCCTCACTAACAGCACTTGCTACGGTGGTAAACAAGGGGGTAAACAAGGCCACGTGGTAAACAAGGCTACATGGCTGATCTTTGTCTCTTTGTAATGCAATCGTGGAGTGGGGGTGGGTGAGTGCATTCGCCTGTTAATCTGTTTATCGAGGGGCCGTGTGTGTGCGCTGTGTGTGCTGTGTGTGCTGTGTGTGTGTGCTGTGTGTGTGTGCTGTGTGTGTGTGCTGCGCGTGTGCTGTGTGTGTGCGCGCTGTCCGTGGGGGTGGGGAGGAGAAGTGGAAGTGAGTGGGTGTTTGCGCTGCGTTTGCGCTGTGTGTGTGCTGTGTGTGTGCTGTGCGTGTGTGCTGTGTGTGTGCGCGCTGTCCGTGGGGGTGGGGAGGAGAAGTGGAAGTGAGTGGGTGTTTGTGCTGTGTGTGTGTGTGCTGTGTGTGTGTGTGCTGTGTGTGTGTGCGCGTGTGCTGTGTGTGTGTGCTGTGTGTGTGCGCGCTGTCCGTGGGGGTGGGGAGGAGAAGTGGAAGTGAGTGGGTGTTTTGCGCGGGCGGTGGCTGCGACTTGCGGTTGAGACTGCTGCGCGCATTTTTTTTTCCGCCACTGCCCTCGCAACACAGGAAGGGCGCGGTCGTGTTCGGCGCTGGTTACTCGGACCACGGAGACACGGCCCACGCGCCCGCGAGTGATTTCCGACTCCCCACAATCCCCTTCGGCGGGGAGCCCCTTTCACGTCTCCGAAGCCGCGTCGCCCCACCTGCTGCCGAGGGCGCGAGAGGTTCCGTTCGACAACTTCAACAGGAGCGGCGGCAAGCGGGCGACCATGCCTCCGGCCGCCGTGGTCTTCAACTCGCAGGCGGTGACGTCCCGCCTGGGCGTCGTGCGCGTGCTCCAGGTGGCCTTCACCTGCGTCGCCTTCAGCCTCGTGGCGCACAGCGGAGGCAAGGCGCACGCCTACGGCGACTTCTGCATGTTCGCCTGGTGCGCCTGCTTCGCCTGCTCGCTCCTCCTGCTGCTCCTCGAGCTGCTCGGCCAGCGAGGCTGCGCGCAGATCTCCTGGCAGAACCTGACGGTCACGTACGCCATGCTGGCGGCGCTGCTGCTGCTGTCCGCCTCCGTGCTGCACCCCGTCTACCGGCTGCGCGAGATCTCGTGCGGCAGCTGCGAGCCGCGCACGTTCACCATCGTGGCGACCGTCTTCTCGTGCCTCGCCTTCCTCGCCTACGCCGCCGAGGTGGCGCTCACGCGTGCGCGGCCCGGGGAGGTCACCGGCTACATGGCCAGCGTGCCCGGCTTGCTCAAGGTGCCCCAGGCAGAAACGCCACGCGCGCACGCACACACACACACGGGGTAGAATTGCACCGAATCGTTTGTCTGGGTCGCTGTGTAGAGTTGGGACTGCTTGAGGTACCCACACCGCCACACAGACCCGGGGTGGGGGGGGGGGGCACAAGGCAGGTAGATGGGAAAAAGAGACCACAGCAGATGGAAATGAGGGACGAGAGGAGCGTCATGATACCTGGCTTTAAAATCGTAAAACTAGATTCAAGACCTGGGCTTAAAAATTCGAGATGTAAGATTTAAAACCTGGGTTTAAATAGCGGCGGATATAAACCCATAGCTTTTTTCAGCCTCGCAAGTTTTGTAAGATGCATAAAATCCGGGGTTTTAAGGCAAATAAATGGGTTAATGAAGCCAGAATTAAAATCTTGAGTTATGAAGCCATATAATGAATGTACATTTTGGCCTTTTTAATACCAAGTGGCGAAATAAAACCTCAATTCATGGGGCATAATTAAATCTTGGAATTTTTAAGGGTGATGGATATTAAACCTGGGTGAGGCCACAGACGATATTTAAAACCTGGGTTCAAAAGATGTCAACGTTGGTCGTATGAGACCAGAATAAAAAAAAATGTTTAAGGTCCAAAAAATATATTTGAATCCTTGGCTAATAAAGCCTCATAAAAATTGTAATCCTGGGTTCATAAGGCCAAGATAACAGTTAAAACCATTGTGTTTTTGTTGTTCTCTCTCCGCTAAATCGCACACGTGCGTGCATGTCCGCGCGTTGCGCGCCCAGGTGCTGGAGGCGTTCGTGGCGTGCCTCATCTTCGTGGTGCTGGCCGAGCGGCCGGACCTGTACTCGCGCTACCCGGCGCTGCAGTGGTGCCTGGCCGTGTACTGCGTGTGCTTCGTGCTGGTGGCGGTCGTCATCCTGCTCACGGTGTGCCAGAGCACGGGCCGCCTCTGCCTGCCCTTCGACCGCTTCCTGGCCCTGTGCGGCCTCGTGGCCGTGCTCAGCTACATCACGGCGGCGGTGCTCTGGCCCGTCTACTGCTTCTCCGACAAGTACGGCGAGCCTCGGCGCTCCTCGTCCTATTGCCGCAACGTGGGCGGCTGCGACTGGGACATGCAGCTGGCGGTCACCGTGTTCACCTACGTGAACCTGCTGGCCTACGTGGCCGATATGGTCTACTCGAGCCGCCTCGTCATCATCAGCCGCATGCTGTAGCGTCTCGACGTGCCGCGGGCCGGGCCGATGGGGACTCTGCCTGGCTGCTTCGGTGTGATGAGATGCTTGGGCGACCGTGCGCTCTCGTAGACATCCGGTAGCTACAGGGGTGACCGTTCACTCACTTGGAAATCTTGTTGGTGAATGGTTACCCCTATAACGAGCGGATCTCCATGACAGCCAGCGGTCGCCCCTTTAACTCGGCGGTGGTGGGCGGGGGGGGGAGGGCGACGAATGCCTGTTGTTTATTTTTGTGCGCGAGGTCTGGATGCCTCGAGATTGTTTTTTTTGTTTAACGTGGCGTGATAACGGCGGCTACACAACTCCTTGACCTGTGTGTTACCACTGCCTCCCCACCCGCAACATCGCCAGTAGTCACTTAGAGATCTCTCTTCAGTTGTGTTGCAGGAGGTCTTCACGTCAGTCTCCTGTAAAGTCTGTCTCGGTTCACTTTGGGGAGCGGCGGCGGGGTTCAAATGAAGAGGCTAAGCTCGTCAAGCAAAACTGCACTTGGCAGCGTAAGAAACAGCATTCAGTTGGCCTCACCGGTTTGCCACTGGGAGCCCCCTCTCTGTTTCATGATTGGCTGTCAAAATGTCCAGAAACTCTCTACGGTTGGAGAAAAGCGTCACCTTGGTGAGATATTTCCTTGCCCACCATTAGTATGCAACAATTGAATCATTTTGCAGGGTCCCGCAAAAATCAGGTCAATAATTATTATTTTTCAGTCCGCCCCACTCGTGATCCCGACAGCAACGCGCCGCCCGCCCAGACTCGCGCCAACAATCGCCAGCAGGCGGCGATCGACACGATGGGCGCCACCCCACCGGCCAAACGCGAGCCCCGGGGGGCGTCCGCCGCGGTCGCGCGCGGCGACGACGCCCTCCGGTCAGCCGTCGATCCTCAGCTTCTTTGCCAAGGCAAGCCCCGCCCCCCAGGCAGTGAATTTAACGTGTTTATGTAAATTTTCAACTTTTGACGAAACTTAGTGCCCCGAGCAGCTCTCGACGAGGCCAATCGATTGACGCTAGTTTTGTTTTCGGTAAGGCAACAAGACTCGTGTTGCTACGCGGTTTTCCCCACCCCGGGGCGGTGATGGGACCCCGGGGTCCCGCCAATTGCTTCAATTACTCGTCGCTACAAGACAAAGATTCCCCCGTATAGCCTCGAGACTGTTGGGGCAAGCGCCGTTAGCGAGCAGCAGCACCTACGAAGGCCAGCACAGCACACGAGGGGGTGGGTGGCCAGCACCACGCCCGGCCGACTTTGCCTCGCCAGTGGCATTTTTTAAAAAGCACACCGGGACTCATTTGAAGCCGAGTCGACCTAGGGGGGGAGGCCCAGGAACGGTTCAGATAATCTTCACTGGTGTTGGCCGTGAGCGGGATTCCAACTCGGGTCGCCAGGTTCGTAGAGCAGTGCGCTTCCCACGAAGCTACTGATACAATACACACACACACGATACAGTGCGTGTATTGCGGGTGTGAGAATTGATTTGTAATCGGTGCGTAGTTTAAACAGTCAGGGCCACAGCTATAAAAGAAAATACAGTGATAGGGCTTATAGAGGCCGGCTAAACTGATCTCTATGCCAGTGTGAGATGGTCACTTAAGCCATAATTATTAGCGCTTGGTCAATTTTTAATGGCATTCTGCTGCCACGGCCATGACTGGACTTGCAATCCAGAAGGTCGCCGGTTCGACGCCACCTCTCCCGGCACGACCGCTGAAGCCACCGCGCAGGTTCCTCGAATCTGCCCCCGCCGCATCCCTGTCACACCCATCGACATAAAATTGGCGCACCACCACAGTTGAGTAAACGCAACTGTGGCTGTCGCCTGATGTTGTAACTGCTGGCGAAACGTCGTACTCGAATTGTAAGTGTGGGTTTACTCAAGAAAACACCGGTGTGCTGTACTAGTAACGGATTGGCACGTTAAGTTTGCGTGACAAACCCTTACTAATTGGCTGCGTAGGGTTGTGGTGGGTTTAGCGACACAACATTTATATATTATATATTACGCGATCTGACCCCAAAAAAACAACGTGTGTTATGGACCCTCGCTGCAACTCGGCTATTGAGCGCAACAACCCACAGATGTGGTGTCACCACTGAGGTACAAACACCGTGCCTCCCAACAGCAGCAGCAGCGGCAGCATCAATTACTACGAATAAAGCCAAACTTCAGGTCAAACGTGGCATCTCTGAAGCCACTTGGGTTCGTTATATTATTATTTTTCTTCTATTTACACCATCGAACCCAAAAACAACCTCTTATGAAATAGAGCCGGAAGGTTGTGCGCGTGTGCGGTGAGCTAAAGCGTGGGGGGGGGGGGGACTCCCACCTCTCACGAGGTGTATATGGTCACCGTGGGTTAAACCGCACGAACTCTGAAGAGAGGCGCTCCATGGAGCTCCCTCGAGTGGAGGCGGCGGCGGTGTGAGCAAGCACCTTTGCGTTGCAGGGGTTGCGCGCGGGCGTCACCGATAAGAGTAACTTGATGTCGTCGGGTCGGAATACTCTTACCGAGGCTCCCACAAGGCCGTGCGGGAGGGCGTGTGGTGCGGTATGGTGCCAGCTATCGTAAGAGGGCGCCGGTCGTGTGGCTATAGTTCTCTGCGGCGAGCAACGGCGTCTTTGAAGAAGTCAACGGCGCTGCTGCTGCTGCTACGTCTCTCTGAATCAAATTTAAACCGAACCGCGTGCAGTTTTACGAGGCTCGGCGATGAACGGGACAACGACCCCGCAACTTGCAGAGGTCTCGGAATGCGAAAGGGTTACATTTACCTGACCCGCTGAGTTCACTCTTGCCAAAGTTTCGCCGTCTTTTTCTGTGATTTTTTTTTTTTAATCATATTTTGTTCAAACAAAAATGTGTTTACTCGCTCCTGTTGTGATGCACTGGAAGAAGTCGTTCGTTGTAGTCTTGAACCATCCGAGCAGACCTGCGCTGCTGCTGCTGCTGCTGTTTGTCGCACCGTTGTGCAGTCGGCAGGTTTGCTCGTGCAAGTGAGCAGTATTTTATGCCAGGAAAGTATCGGGAGCAACAGACAACAACGAAAATCTCTCTCGAAAAGTAAAATTATTAAGAATGCATTTCATCCATCAGCCGGTCCGGTCTTCTGGCGCCAACGCTTTTCCGGCATTGTCTTCTTGTAAATTGTTCCCCGTTTTATTCCAGTCGCGCTCTCTCGGCCATGTGTGCACGTTCACGGGATGTTGAAACTTCTTTCGCGCCGTACGTAGCCGACCGTGCTCATCGGAGGTGCGGGGGAAGGGCGACAAACTCTGGGTGGCTGTGTGAGTCTATGTACGTGTGTATGTTAAAACTTCTTTCGCGC